TACTTGCCCTACAGCAAAAATCTCACGAGCAAATTAAAGCTTGTTAATCCTGCCCTTGAACCACTCCTGCAGTTTCTGATGAAACCCAGACTTGTTCCCCAATGTCCTGTAGCCTACAAGGCCCTGAGGATGTGGTCCTACCTGCTTCTCCAGCTGCCCCTCGTCTCCCTCCCCCATTCTCTGTGCTGCAGCCCCGCTGTGCAGCTTTCTTTGCTGCAGACACACTGGGCTCCTTCTCACCTTGAGTCTTCTGCACTTGTGGCTTATTCAGCCGCCACCCTGGCATCCCCAACTTTGCATGGCTGACTACCCTTGTACCTGAAATGTCCTTCCCCACAGTGGCCTTCCTGGCCATTGTCTCTAAAGAGCTCCCCTGCCCACTCTGCTGCCCTCCCTGACATTCCCGTCTCCATCCTGACATCGTCCATGTACCTTTCTTTGTGGCACTTGTCAAAATCTGAATTCATCTTGTTCCTTCAGAGGTCTCCTGTTTAGCACATCTGTCTCCATCCACTAAAACTGGATACTCCAAGGGCAGGGAAGACATCTGTTTTGCATGCTATTAGATCTCTAGTGTCTGGCCTATTGTTTTTATTTTTTTTAATAAATGAATGAATAAGTAGATGACTGGACAGGTGAATAATTAGATAAAATAAGGATTTGTGAGTGAATTGTACATGGATGGATGGGTGGACAGTCTGATGGACGCAATGAAAAAGTTTGCCCATGTAAAAAGGCTGGCTCCTCCTGCTAGATAGTTTCCTTGAGGTTAGAATATACTTACTGCCACCTGGTGGTGGAAGTAACAATGACCTGTCATTCTCTATCTGAATGTGTTGGAGTGATGCTCTCCCTTGCCAAGGTTAACTATCAATTTCTCCCATCTACTGCTCCACTCTTGTCTAAGGTCACACTTTCCTTTAAGACCCACAACCCTGGAACCCCCTATGAGTTGTCTAATATTGTTAGCCTTCCTCTGTTGAAGAATAATGTCATATTCTTTTTTTTTCCTTTTTTCTTTTGGGAGAGGTCTTTGCTATAGGGTGAGTACGCTTGCCAGAAAGACAGAGAGAGGCAGAGACAGAAAGCAAGAAATCACCCCCAGGGGGGGATGGCCATGCTACAATCCCTTCTCCTCCATTTTCCTCTCAGGATCTTGGGCACACACGCACACACACCCGGAGTGAGTTTAAGCCACAGGTCTGGGACTCAAACCATGGTCGAATACATAGGAGTCCAGTGACATAGCCATTATGCCAACTGCTGGTCTCGGATGTCATTTTCAAAGGTAGAAACAAGGCATCATTCAGCAAATACTTATTGAGCACCTACTTTGTGGTAGACCCTTTCCAGGCACAGGGAACGCTCTGGTGAACAAGAAAGACCCAGCCCCTGTTCTCTTGGGCCTGACAGTCAGGTGAGGGTGCTGTGCAGTGGAGAAAACAGACTCACAGGAAAATCTACGATAATGATGATAACACAGGAGCTGGAATCGAGAATGAATCAGTCAGTCCACTTTAGCTCTTTGAATCAGAGAATGTCTCTCTAAGAAGGTAAAATTTGAGCCCAGACCCATAGATGAGGAGGAGAGAACCCTATGGAAGCCAGGGGAAGAGCATTCTAAGCCAGAGCCTGGACCAGTGGAGGCATGTGCCCAGGGTTCCAAATATAAGACACAATAAAACGATTAGTCAAACAGTCTATGAGAAACAAAATACTGATATTTCTATAAAGGCAGGATCTAACAGGGATGAGTGAATTGAGAATGTATAAAGTAGAAGCCTATCAGTTTAAAATTTCAATTACTTTGGTTCATCATAAAATGCCTTAGTATTAATTTTTGAATTTATTTTTCTCTTATTTATTATTTATTTATTTATAATTTGCCAGAGGGTGTATGCACTCACCAGAGAGAGAAAAAGAGGGAGAAAGCATCCCCTAAAGGATTGTGGTCACACTGTAATCCTTTCTTCTCTATTTCTCCACCCTGTTGGACTTTGGGCACACACACACATGCCCTGAGTATTCATCAAGCTGTCAGGACCAGGCTTTGAATCATGTGGCTAGCCATGTAGGATACAGCTACCTTAATCATCAAGTCATGGAACCAGTCTTTGGTATTACTTTTTATTTATTTATTTATTTTCTCTTAAAATAGTACATCGAGATATTATTTATCTGAATGACTGAGTGTTTGGTGCCACATTGGTTTTGTATCTAGGGTTAATGCTTAGTCTTGGCCTATTAAGTCTAAGCAGAAGACCCAGCAAGCACAAAGCCCTGAGATGGGAGGCCTTGGACTGATTGAAGGAAGAAAGAACACCCGGGTGACCGAGTGAGAAATGCAGCTGCACAGGTCTGAGGGCCCAGGCCTTGGAGAGCGGTGCTCTTTACCTTGGCTGTGCTGTACAATCACTTGGGAGCCTTAAAGCGATACATAAGGGCCAGCCCATAGCATGGTGGTTAAGGTGTCTCGATCCTACATGACCAACTGCACAGTTCAAGTCCCAAACCTGGCAGCTTGAGAAACATACCAGGCACATGTACGTGTGTGCCCAAAATTTTGAAAGGAGGGAGAACTGGAAAAGAGATTGTGGTATGACCATTCCCCATGGGGAGTGCTTTCTCTCTCTCTCTCTCTCTCTCTCTCTCTCTCTCTCTCGTGAGTGCATACACCCTTTGGCAAACTAAAAAAGAAATAAAGCAGAAGTCATACTCACACCCAAGTCTTCCCCCAGGCTCTAAGTCCATCTCTGGGGCAGGAGCCTAGGTATCAGTATTCTTTAAAACAATTTTAAAAATTTATTCATGATAGAGAACATGTAGTATTCATGAGAGAGAGAGAGAGAAAGAGAGAGAGACCCTTAACAGGGTCTTGTCATGGTCTGATCCCCTTCCCACAGCTCATCAGGATTTGGGGCACATGTGTATATGCCCAGTGTGTTTTCAGGTCAACCTGGGTATCCAAACCCACTGTTGGCCATGTGGCTTCCAGCACTGCAGTTCAGATTGCTAATGACCATGCCACTGTGCCATCAGGCGGAGCCCAGCATCAGTATTAAAACACTCCCCAGATAACTCGAAGGTGCAGCCAAGGCTGAGCTCTCCTGGTGTAGGGCCTTTGATCTGGAGCTGACCACCCCGATTCCAGGTAGACCTCTCTGTCCTTCTGCCTCTGTTTCTGAACTTCACTCCCCTTCTTCACACAGTGTTAATGAAGCATGTGCCCACCTCAGTCACCCCCTCTGAACATTGAAGTCACCTGGTGTGATTGAGAAAATCCTGATGCCCGGGTTCCCACACCAGAGGTTCAAATCTAGTTGGTTTGGGTTCAACCTGGGCATTTGGACCTGAAACTTCTGTGCCTCTGTGTGCAGCTGAAGTTGAGAACTATTGAGTTAAAAGCTTACTTGGTGGGGCTGATTGTTGGCATGGTGATTAAGGCGCTGTACTCCCACATGGCCGACCATAGTTCAAGTCCTAGACCTGCCTGGTGGCTTATTTATTCTCACTTTCTCTTTCTCTAGTCAAATTTAATAATAATAATAATAATAAAAAATAAAACCAAATAAAATTATACTAAAAACAGTTTTGTCATAGATCCTATGCCCAGCATTGTACCAGGATATTAATGGGCCTACCTTCTAAGAACTTCATGGAAAAAAGAAAACAAAAACTCTCAGAAAATGGAATTAAAGCATAAGTTTATTTGGGTACAAGAAAAAATTTTGAAGTCTATACATACTGTTGTCATAATATGCATTTTTCATGAAGACTTTGAAGATCTCTCATACATTACCCTGCTAAAAGAAACATCCCACCTATCATTATTTACTTCTCAATTACTATGAGGGGACCTCAACAAGTTCACGGAAAAATAGAATTAAAGTATGAGTTTATTTTGGTGCAAAAAGTTTTTGGAATCCAAACCTGATTTTATTCATAATATGTATTTTCCATGAACTTTTTAAAGACTCCTCATATAAATACATAAAATTATTATTAATTCCAGGGCAGGGCTGCCTAACTTCTCTGGCTTTGTCCGTTTCAATCAAGTCTTCCTGGTCCTTAGTTTCCCCTGCTCTAACAGAGAAGGTTACAGAAGGTGAACCCCAAGGTGCATTTGAGCTCTGTCACTAAAGAGATTGGGCCCAACTGACTGATTGGCCTGGCTGTTTGGCTTTGCTCAGCCAGAGCTAGACAGACTCATTTTAGAAGAGGCAGAGATAGGAACAAAGAGAGGCCATCACACCCAAGGCCAACCTTGTCAGCTGACTCTTCTGGGGGCTGCAGTGAGAAAAGCTGGGCGTCCTCCTGGGCTGTTGTAACTGGTTCTGTCTTGCAGATTGTTACCACAACGTATGCAGTTTTCTGGCCCAGAAGACGGACTCTGTGCTGCTGTTGGTTGGGTGAGTTGCTGAAGATAGGCAGTGGGTTTTATGTGGCTGAATTTGTGGGTGATTTGCAGAATAGAGAGAGGAGCCCTTACTCTCTTAGGGGCACGCAGAGACAGACACAGCACTGTCCCAAAGAGCAAAAGCTGGAAACAGTCCCATGCTCATTGGCAGGAGAGAGTGTGAATAAACGTGTACAGGGAATGTTAGAGCACAGAGCCATAGAGAGTGTGGCATGTTGTAAGACTGGAAAGTATAATGTAATGTGAATGAATCTTAGTATTCTAAAATTAAGTGAAAACATTTCTTTAAATAAAGAGAACGCTATTAAAATCAGGCCACTGGGGGGGCCAGCATGTGGCATAGTGGTTAAGGCACTGGATTCCCACATGGCCAATTGTGGCTCGAGTCCTGGACCTTGTGGCTTGCTTTCTCACTCTCTCTCTCTCTTGTGAGCACATGTGTCCTGTAACAAATTAAAAAATAATAATGAAAAATAAAAGTTAAATAAATAATTGTTTAAAAAAACGAAGCCAGCAGGTGGCATGGTGATTAAGGCACTGGATTCCCACATGGCTGGCCATGGTTCAAGTCCTGGACCTGGTGACTTGAAAATCATGCCAGGTGCATGTGTGTGCGTGCCTAAAATCCCAAGAGGAGAACGGAGAAGAAGAGATTACAATGTGGCCATTCCCCGTTCCCCATCCCCAAGGAGTGATTTCTCTATTTCTCTTGATCTGTCTCTCTAATTGAGCACACATGCCTATAGCAAAACCAAAAACAAACAAACAAAAATAACTAAAATGGAAAGAATGCCTTCTAAGTATACACATAGTCACAATAAGATAATGTTAAAAAAGAAAAGAGAAAGGATGATGGGTATAGAATTCAGGGTTACCCTTCTCTCCAAGGGTGAGAAGAGTTGGAATGATGGAGGCGGCATATGGTCTGGTTGGCTGGAGGTTATGGTCAAGGTCCTGGCTGTTGTTTGGGGTGAGAGTTCTGCAGGTGCTTATTGGAGCTTTTAAACAAATTAAGGCCCAGCCACAATGGCATGTTCTGGATGCTGCTGCTTAGCATAGTAAGGGCACATGGGAGACCCACATTTGAGTCCCAGCCCACCCTAAAAATCTGGGAGCATGTGGTTCCAACTGGGAGACTGAGGCAGGTGGATCATGACAGCAAGATCTTGTCTAGAAATGAATAGATAAAAGATGAGGCTTCAGAGCAACTTCAAAAGGAAATTACATTCAAGGTTTAAGAGAAGGCAGTGGTTCCTTCCAACCCTTGGGATCCCCATGATGCCTTAGAAGTGGCTATGAATGTCAAAGAGGAAGAGAAAGAGTGAGATCCTTCACCCTTGGGCAAAACCAGAGCAACTGCATTTCTTTACTTCACACAGTGGGACTCATATTTTAATGGGAAAAATAATTCTAGGCCAGGTCATGGTGATGTAAGCAGTAGGGCATCACTGTGCAATGTTGAAGTCACATGGGGGACCCAGGTTCAGCTCTTGGACCTACCTGAACACACCAGGCACGGCAGCAAGTCTGTCATCCCAATTGTCTGGGAAGCTGGGATCAAGGATTACAGCATGATGAGACTCTGCTGGAGATGCCTATACCTACCTCTGTCTCTTTCTTTCTCTTATAATAAAATAAATGAACTTTAAAAAGAAAACAGTAAGTTTTGTTGCTCTAGCAAATTTTGGAAACCACTAATCAAAGGTGTCATTTTTTCCTAATGAGTAGGGAGTTTTACCCAAATTTAATCTTACATTTATACTATATTTTTGGGGGGCAGCCAGGTGGCATGGGATTGAGGCAGCTAGATCTTACATGCCTGACTGTGCAGTTTGAGTCCCGGACACGGTGGCTTGAGAAACATGCTGGGTGCATTTGTGTGCATGTCCAAAATCCTGAGAGGAGAAAGGAGAAGAAGAGATTGTGGTGTGGCCATCCCCCTGTTGGATGATTTCTCACTTTCCCTCTCTTTGTCTTTCTATCTGTCTCTTTCCAGCAAGTGCACATGCCCTGTAGCAAACAAATAAACAAAGAGTAAAGAAAGAATATACATGGCCCACCATGATTTGAGTCATGGGCCTGGCGGCTTGAGAATCATGCCAGGCGTGTGTGAATGCATGCCCAAAATCTCAGGAGGAGAACGGAAGAGAAGGGATTGTGGTGTGGCCATCCTTCTCAGAGGGATGAGTTATCGTTTTCCTTTCTACTGTCTTTCTCTCTGTCTCTCTGGTGAGCACATTCATCCTAAGGCAAAAACTTAAAAAAAAAAATAAAAAGAAAGAAAGAAAGAAAGGAAATGAAAGAGAAAGAAAGAAAGAAAGAAAGGAAATGAAAGAGAAAGAAAGAAAGAAAGAGAAAAGATGACAAGTAACAAACTTTACTGCTATTTGAGACAACAGTAACTGTTTAAATAAACTTTCTAATCCAAGCAGTTTAGCTAAACTGTCTCTATTTTTAAAATTCATTCCTTTTAATTATCTCAATTGAGTCATGCATTAGTTAGATTGTGCTTTACTGTTTTTAGAGTCATGTTAAAGTTCTTTTTCCTTGTGTTTGAATTCTTAGGAGACAGACTTTGGGGACTAAACCTCAGAATACTTTAGACCGACCCTGGGATGTTTTTCACCAGCCACTGGTACCTGGGTCTTGTGTAGTCTTAATTGTGTTTGTTTCCTGCCTTGCTCAGCTTTCCTGCACCCAACACCCTCTTCCCCTGACCCTGGAAGAGAAGGCAAGTCTTGAGTCACTGGATAAGAATAAGCTTGTTGGGACCACCAGTTGGCAAATGGACATGTCGTTGGACTTCCATATAGTCGACCACAGTTCAAGTCCTGGACTTGGTGGCTTAAACTCATGCTGGATGCATGTGTGTGCGTGCCTAAGATCCTGAGAGGAGAATGGAGGAGAAGGGATTGTGGTGTAGCCATCTCCCCGGGAGGTGATATCTCGCTTTCTGTCTGTCTCTTTGGCAAGTGCACACGCCCTATAGCAAAAACCTCTCCAAAAAAAGTAATAGATAAAATAAGCCTTGGCCAATAGATTATTAATATTTTTTAAGTTTGCCTAAAAGAATCTTCCTCCTGAATTTAGTTTTCTCGTCCTTTTCTCTACTGACAGACATTAGAACTAGCAGCAGTTTCATCTACCTTTCCCCCCCTCTCACTGTTGTTTGTTTTGCTTCCAAAACAAATAGCTTCAGAGTTGCATACTCTTCTATGGAATTCGTCCATCTACAGGAAACAGATGGAATATCGGTTTAAAGTCAAGAATCCCAGCCTGTTTGATTCCCAGCAAATTCTTTACATCTTCAATGGGAAAAAATGGGGCCAAAATCCTTTTTTCATAGGGTTATTCTGAGGATGTGCTTGATCTTGTGAGGAGGGGGAAACAGGACACTTTTCAAATGTCTCTCAGAGTCATCTGTCCACACTGATGTGCTTTCTTCTTCCCTGTTCCCTTCTCAGGTACCGCAAGCTTCCTGATTACCACTTCCCTGTCGCTTCCCTTGACTGTCTGGCTGCTACCATTCACTTCCTGAAAGCTCTAAAATCCTACGGAGTGGATCCCTCCCGGGTTGTGGCCTGTGGAGAAAGCATTGGAGGAGCGGTTTTGGCCTCCATCACTCAGACTCTGGTGGGCAGATCAGATCTTCCCCGGATCCGGGCTCAGGTCCTGATTTACCCAGTTATCCAGGTGGTCAACTTGCAGTTACCATCCTTTCAGCAGAATAAAAATGTCCCATTTCTCGACTCCAAGTTAATGAAGCTTTGCATTTGTAAATACCTGGCTATCAACTCCTCCTGGTGGGATGCCATCTTGAATGGTGCTTTCATACCTCTGGATACCTGGAATAAGTACAGCAAGTGGCTCAGCCCTGAAAACATCCCTAAAAGATTCAAGAAAAAAGGTTACCAGCAGCCCAAGTTCCCCAGCCCTTTTAATGAGGCTGCCTACCTAGAAACTGGACATATTTTAGATGTATCAATTTCACCCCTGCTGGCTGAGGATGAGACCATTGCCCAACTACCTGAGGCTTTCTTGGTGAGTTGTGAGAATGACCTGCTCCGTGACCACACCCTGCTCTATAAGAAGCGCTTGGAGGACCAAGGGGTCCCTGTGACATGGTACCATGTGAAGGATGGCATTCATGGAAGCTTAGTCTTATTCAAAGATAACATTTTCACACTGCCATGCTTCTCAAATATTGTGAATGGTGTAATCAGTTTTATAAATGGTATATGACAGTAATCCCGGATTTCCATGTGGGGATCTGGGCACTTGTCTCTTACTCCCTTTACCACTTTCGAGCTCACACATTCTGAGGGAAGCCAGCTGCCCTGCTGTGAACTGCTCTATGAAGAGTGGCAGAGGCTGGCTGCTGGGAAAGGCAATCTCATGTGCACGGTTGTTTGATCCCTGCTCGGTGATATTAAGAATGAACTCTGGGCCTGGGATGCTTCATTACCAACAACTGCAGAGCCCATTTGACTTGTGCTGGACTTATTGCCATGTTTTCATATTCTAAGCCTGACAAATGCTGCTTTGTCCTGCTTCTGACATGGGCATCACATCGCACTTGGCCAAGCCCCATTGCTTTATCTGTCCCCTATGGGAAGGAGACTGGGTCCTTCTTTTGTAACACCAAAGGGTTTGTTAGTCAATTGCTCTGCATTGGCTGCCGGAAGAGACTCTCTGGTCATGGAGGACTTGCTGGCTGTGGGATGCATAACCAGAGTGGATCCTGCTCTGTTCTTTTCCTCTGTGAATAAAGCATAACTCTATCCAGTGCTTGACTATGTTGTTTTCCTTTGGTGAATCTGATACCAAGATGCCATGGACAGAAGTGTATAGAGTCTTCCTCTAGAATTGGTAACTGGTGCATAGTATTTTGCTTAACACAGGTATCTTTGGCCAATAACCAGCCAAGACCTGAGGCTGGGTGACAGTGTGGCTTGGGATAGACAGTGTGGCTTGGGATGCTCTTCCTTCCCCTGCTGACCCTTGAGGTGATAGCAACCTCAGCTGACACTTGGTTGCAGCCTGTGTGAGACCTTGCCACAGACGCTGTGAGATGATGAATATTTGTTGTTTTCAGCTGTAAAGACTCGAGGTAATTTGTTACACAGTGGTAGATAACTCATACCTATTTTTAGTAGCAAAGTGGGGTGCTGCCATGACAAAATTCTGAAAACGTGATTGGTGGACTTAAACTTGGACTCGGTGGTGTCCTGCATTTAGGGAGGCTAAGATGTTGGTGTTTGTCCAGCGCTATGAGGGGATATAAAAGCTATTGGAGATGGGACTGTCAGACTGAATTTCTCTTTTGCAATCTGCATGACCACCCCCAAACCACACATGCCAAGAAGGCCCAGAGCAGCCCCCCACAAAAACATTGAAAAATGCATTTTTGAAGAGAGCACCTACATTCTTAAAATCTCTATGGTTTCTCTCCTTTGTAGCCAAGTGGGACCATGGAGGCCACAGTGAGATGAGGAAGTCATAGAGCAGCAGAGGACAAAGGGCAACACTTTACTGCCAAAGGCAAGGTGGACATACGGCCATACCAAGCAGGAGGGTGTACCAGTAATCAGAATGCTCAGTTCACAGGGCTTTTGGTCATAGCTAGATCATATTGGTGCCCCAGAAATGAAATTTACTGTTAGTGTATTAGGGCATTTTTTGACTTACAGAAGATAAAAAAGCTCCAGGTCTAGTTGCCATGTGCCTTGGAATCACCACAGTTGAGTCAAGGCTGCTCACCTAGTTTCTAATTTTTTTTCCATTAAGGTTTTAGCCATGGGACACATGTGCTCACCAGAGAGACAGTGAGAAATCACTCCCTTCCCCAGGAGAGATGGTCATACTGTGATCCCTTCTTCATTTCCTCCTAGTGTGTGCACTCACACACACTAGTCCAGTATGATTTTTCAAGCTGCTGGGTCTGGGACTTGAACCGCAGTCAGCCACGTGGGAGTACAACACCATAACCACTACACCACCTACTGGCCCCTAGTTTCCAAATTTAAGTTAGTTCACAGATCTGGACTGAAGTAGAGGCCACCAAGTCCCTTTGAAAAAGGACTCTGGATCTTTTCTTCAAGTATATACTTTAAAATATATACTTTAAATCTTCCCCCAAATCCCCCCATAGGGATCTGCTGCCATGTACAAGAGTGACTGGATGGGGGAGAAAAGGAAACACCTGGATTTTCTAGGAATCACTACATGTGGATTCTGAACTAACATTAATCTGAGAGACCTACACTGCTACCCTGGGGAAAGAGGAGGCTGCCTGTGGTCAGGTGAGAGATGAAGTCTTGCCTCAAGTGGGCCCCTGTGGTCCACAGAAACACATTTGTTATAGCCCTAGCTTCTGAATATACTTGGAAACCAGCAGAATCCCACGCTGGCTCTCTGACTAAGGAGGTAAGACTCACTGTGGTGATCTGCCTGGAAGCAGACACTTATTCTGGTTATAAATTTGCTTTCCCTTCCCATGATTCTTCTGCCAAAATCACCACCCATGCACTTGTAGAAAGCCCTGTCTGTAATCATGGTGTCAGCATTGCTTCTGATCCAGAGATTCATTTCACAGAAAAGGTAGGGCAGTGAAGGGTCTGTGCACTGGTAGAGATGGTCCTGTCACAGCCCCTATTACCCAGAAGTGGCAGGGCTAATTGAATGATGGAATGTCTTACCAAAGAATCAATTGAGGAGCCAGGTAGGAGAAGACACCCTAAAAGGAGTTCTATCTTATAAGATCCAGTGCAAGTAGGGTATCCCTTATCTGAAATGTTTGAGATTAGAAGTGTTTTAGATTTTGGATTTTGGAATGTTTGCATATGTAAGTCACAAGTTTTCTTGTTTTCAGCTGGAGATAGCTTAGGGATGGGACCCAAGACTAAACATGAAATTAATTTATGTTTCATCTATACCCTTATACATATAACCTGAAGACAATTTTCTACAATATTTTTGTATTGCAGTGTTTTGACTATGACCCTATCACATGAGGTCAGATGTGGAATTTTCCGCTTTTTTGTGTCATCTTGGCGCTCAGGAATTTTCAGATTTTGGGGCCTTTCAGATTTCATGTTTTCAGCATAGGAATGCTCAACCTGCTTATGGTGCTGTCTCTCCCACAGCCAGAATACTTGGGTCAGAGACTGAGTAATGAAAGTGGGAGTGGACAGTTTTCGTATGCTGGCTCCAGCTGGTGGCACCCAGTTAGAGGTTGTATGCTAGATCCAGCATACAACACCATCACAGGCATTTTCCTTTTTCTTGTGGCCCAGAAAACTCCTTTGCCATCAACGGATCAGAGCCACACTCTCTCAAACAGGTAGAAGTCACAGCCTGAGTCTTTCCAAGTCTCTCCTTCACTCCTGGATATAGCAGCTGCTTCCACATTTGTGATTCTTAAGCCCTTTAATAGTTGACCATTCTTTATTAGTTATTATTTAAATTAATTGTCCCCATCATGATTACTGGTGTCTTATCTATTAATACATACAGTACTTTGTATGTGCCAGGCACTGTTTTAGCACTTTACACATGTTAATTCATTTCATTCTCATAACAACCTATGAGATAGGTTATATAATTGTGCCCATTTTACAGATGTGGAAACTGAAGCAAAATGAGAGAAAATACCATACCTAAAGTCACATAACTGGTGAGAAATCCTGAGTTGAACCCAGGCTGTCTGGATCCAGCATCAGGTGCTAAACATTTCATGCCACATACTAGCAGTCCCTTCAACACTTTCCTCCCCTTTCTCTTCTGAATTTGACCACAAACTGATACAGAATCTCCTTCTACCTTTGTAATAGACTGCAACTTGCTTCCCAGCTCCTGCACGGCAGAAGTGAATGTGCAGATTGAGGCCAGAGACTGCCTTGGACCTGCGCACTCCATTTGTTCCCTGTAGACTCTAAATGCATGTGGAGTGATCATACTTTCTTCCTCAGTTGAGATACTGAGGCTCAGCCCCAGGTGCATCTGTTCTCTAGAATCTGGGAGGCATTTGGAACACACAATCCCAACAACAAAAGTACAGGTCACAGCGAAGAAAATTATAATCCATCAGATGACTAGAAACCACTTTAGAGGCACAAAAAATGTGAAAAGCTAAGAGAGGATAACAATTCCTCATCATCCACAGACAACAGAATGGTACTCATGTACGTGTCAGACAAAGAATTCAGAATATTTATAGAGGCAAAACTTAATGAGATGCAAGAGAAAAGAGACAATGAACTCCAGAAGATGCAAGAGAAAAGAGACAATAAACTACAGGAGATGAGAAAGTCGTTCCTTGATTTGAAAGAAATAAACACCATTAAAAAGAATCAAACATAGCTGTTAGAGACGAAGGCTCTAACAAATCAAAAAATCAAAACCACTCTTGAAAGTATAAAAAGCAGATTAAACCATGCAGAAGATCAAATCTCTGATATAGGAGACAGAATCTCTGACCAGAAAAGATAGAGAAGACAACCAAAAAACTGAGGATAATATACGAGAAATACTAGATTCCATTAAACATTCAAAGAGTTGAATAATTGGTATTCCAGAAGGTGGATAAACTAATAAGGGCATTGAGAATCTATTCCATGAAATCCTGGTAGAAAAGTTTCCAAGCCTAGAGAAGCATTCAAACATTCAGACCCAAGAAATATAAAGGACCCTAACAGAATCAACCCAAGAAGATCTTCTCCATGGCACATCATTGCCAGACTGGCCAAAACCACAAAGACAAGATTCTAATACTGGCAAAAGAGAAACCTTAATAACTTAACAAATGTTACCCCATCAGACTAACACCAGATCTGTCTTTGGAAACAATGTAAACAAGAAAAGAATGGGGAAATATATTCAAAGTGTTAAGTGAAAAACAATTTCAACCAAGAATACTGTATCCAGCAAGATTATCCTTCACATGGGAAGAAAAGATAAAAAACATTCTCAGGTAAACAAAATCTGAGAGAAGTCACCAACTCCAGACCAGCCCTTTAAGAAATTCTGAAGGGAATGCTATACCAAGAAAACAAAAGACAGACAGATAGTAATAAAAGAATAAAAAACAACTAAGAAAGTGGCCAACTTAATGGTATGGACAAGTCTGGAAACATCGAGAATATGTTGAATGTTAAGGGATTAAATTCCCCAATCAAAAGTCACAGACTGGTTGAATGGATAAAAAAGCAGAAACCCTCCATCTGTTGCCTATAAGAAACCCA